ACAGTGCTTTCCGAACTCGCTGCTCTTTACTTCTCCCCTGCACAGAAAGATGAGCGACGAGCCTCATCGAACATTGCTCATTAAAATGTTGATGAATTAAGAATACTTTTTTTTTTTTTGAAAATCCAAATAATATTTTTAATAAGAAATTGAGTACAAAGAGTAATCAAACCTATTTACAAACACGTAAAAATATCAGTCAATTCAAGTTACCCCTATCTTTCAAACCTATTCTTCTCCAATTTACTTAATTCCCCCCACAGTTAGTAATAAGGCATGAAATTGGATCTTGCAATAAGTCTGAAAGATTGAAGTAAAACCCAGCTTTCTTTGCCTTAATCCATACAAAATATCTCAATTGAATAAGTTCAAATATCCTACCCCTAGTTGCCTCCGAATCTTGGAAAATCTTTTGATTTCGTGCAAGCCACACAGACCAAACCATTGTGTTCCAGATGCAGTTCCATCCTTCTCTGATGCTTAGATGTTTAGTCCATGTCTCGAAATTTTCAAAGGTTTTCCTACAGTTCTTGTCTAACTTGATGGTAATCCCCCACCGATTAGCACAAGCCATCCATAACCGCCTAGCTACATTGCAATTCAAAAACAAGTGATTAATGTCCTCGTCCTCAACCTCACACAATGTACATTTCCCATCTCCCATGTCCTTAATGACTCATCTCTTGAACAAATTCAGCTTGGTTGGAATTCTATCCATCATTACTTTCCAGTTAAACGCAGCAATTTTACTTGGGAGAACAGGATTCCATACCCTCTTGAAGAATTTTGTTTCAACCGGTCCCCTTTCATCTTTTGTTAATATCGTGTACGCAATTGAGGTTGAGTATAGGCCATCCTTACTATGCCTCCATTCCCATTCATCTGGACATCTTGGGTAGATCTTCACCTCCTCTATCATCTTGCAGAGTTCTTTTGCATCCTCTTCTTCCCATTGAAATAGGATTCTTCTCCATGATAGGTTCCATTTCCATGTGCCACTTTGAGTGTTACCCATTTGATAGCATTCCTTCTTTTTACTTGTTGACAATAAATACAATCTAGGGAACTTATTACCAAGGAAACCCTCCCCACACCACTCATCCCACCAGAAACTCACCCTTTTCCCCTCTCCTACCTTTATCCTAAATCCCTCCGACAACCACCCTACATTCATTATATAATGTTGATGAGTTAAGAATACCTTCATATGGTAAAATGTTGATGTTATATAAATTTATTATTTATATCTGGCAATTGGAGATGGAAACTTAACCTCATGTTATCTGTTGAACCAATCTTAGGTTTGGAATTCTTTACTGGGATTTAACTAAGGTTTCAGCTGGCATCTAAACTTAGTTTAGGTGGCTCTTTTTGCTTCTGGTTGCAGCTAGAGGTTGCTATTTTGAAATCATGTGGTGGGCATGATTTTAGCAGATGAAAGGCAGGCGTATAGAGGATAGAGGGTAGAAGACATTCCATTACCATATCAACTTATTGTTCTCTTTGTATCTTAATTTTGCTAATTTAGAAGAATTTAGGATATTATCTTCTTGAAAAGGTATCGGGCAAAAAATATTATTTTTTTCCTCAAATGATTGAGCCTTATTATAATGAATGATTCTACCACTTGAAGCTCCATATTTCTGTTGTAAATCATGAATCAAATGTATGGTTATGTAAGGATCCTGGGTGCATGGCCATGTGATTTCTGGGTATGAAGCTCCGATCCATAGGGGTTAAGAGAATTTATTTGTTTTAGTAGGAATGCAGAAATTTTTTTTTTCTTTTTTGTTTAATTGAAGGAATGCTATATATATTTGGACATCATGAAAAGTTCTTTTGGGAGGGGGAGGGGGGGTTTAGATGGTGTTACTTGGCTACAAGCTCAAGTGCTTCTTTTGTCTGCCATACTTGAAGCCGAATGGATTTGACAAAAGAATTGTTGTCAGTGTTTTTACTAAGGAATAGATTAGGGTTTGATTTCCTTGTTCTTGCCTACATGCTTTTTTTTTTTTTTGGGTAATATGCAGAGTTAGTTTATTTATACTGCAATAATACTTGTAAAGCAAATTCTGGAATGAGAAGTAGAATGTCATTCATGGTTACACAAATAAGATAAATATTAAGCAAGAGAGATAATTATAATCTTTAATTCATAGTTGTCACGCTAAGAATACATGGGTATACGCACTTTATTTGCCAAGAGAAGCAGTTTTGTACACTCCAGTGGAAATGATATAGCTAGAAAGTTACTTGTTACATCTATAATTTGTAGTTTTTGCTATTTGTAGTGGGAAATTCTGAAGACAACATTAATCGTCATACCCATGGCCATGGTCTTACCCTCTGTTAGGACTCCATATTGTGGCTGTCACTAGAGGCCTTGTTTCCCAATATAAAGACAACCTGCAGTTCTCATGTCCCACCCAGTAGCTCCTACCATAGAGACTTACTAATAACTTGGCTTGAGAAATGTTGTGAGCACTTATGGGAACTGGTTTAAAATCCTGCAAGGAAGAAAATCTGTGGTACCATAATAGCTTTTCTTCCTGGTTGATAGGAAAATTCTTCACACAATCTAATACCCTTAGCCCCAGGATATCCTTTGCAAACAATCTGAATCCTGCACTTGTAGAGTTATGAGCTAATGAATCAGAAAAAGCGGTATAGTGTTGAATAGCCTCAGAGAAAAACTCTACCAATGATAAAGATGAAACTTTAGCAAAATTGAAGAGTTCTTCCTCAACCAAAGTTACCATCTTTATTGACAGCTTTCTTACACCTTTCAAGAAAGTCCCAACAAATGAAAAGTTTCTGCTGTTCATGTGAAGTTGATGCACCATGCAGTTTGCTATTACTGCTTGATTAACATCAATACTGTTGAAATCATCTTCTTCTCTGAGGATCATTTTATCAAACCTGAAAGTCAGGTTAATAGATTCTGCAAACTCTGTCAATCTTCTGCCTGTCTGTTGAATGGTATCAGCATTTTGAGGGTCCAAAACAATTGCAGTTATTCTGAAAGAAACCTCCTTTCTTTGTGCAAGATCTGCCATTAAAGGAGGCCATTGAATTCCTTCCATGATGTCGAGGTCAATAACATGAACCTCATCTTCTCCTTGGGTTGCCTCAAGGATTGCTTGGTTTGCAATGAACTGTGAAATTTTCAGGTAAGGAGAGAGCTCTTGGAGCATCTGGAAGGCAGACATGGGCTCCTTCTGTGTAGGAACAAGCTCATGGAACAAATGACTTTGGGGTGCATTTTGGCATTTATAATGAAGGCCCTGAGTTAAATAAAAGACTATGTCACTGAATGTAGTGTACTCACCTTTTATATTCAAAAGGATGCTACTTATTTTGCTGATGATGCTAGAAGCAAGTGCCCAGTCTGAAGCTTCAACTGCCCCAGCTCCTTTCAGTAGCAGATCAACCAAGGTACTTTTACACTCCATATCTTGCAAATCATCAGAACCATAGGTATATTCTGTAGAAGAAACTGTGTTCTCTTCATTTTCTTGTATTTGAAGTGGTTCTCCCATCAACCATTCATCAGAAAAATTCTTTTGGATGGTTGTTAGCTTTGGTTTATTGGTTTGGATGTTGAGAATTGTTTCTGGGTTATGCAGATTCTGAAGGAGGTACATATTCTTTGGTTCAAAAGGGCAATATACCTGCTCATTCATGGATGAAGATTGGAAGCTTCTGAACATGGTAGGCAGGTTTTTGACAAGTTTTCTATGCTCTTGGTTGAGTGAAAGTTACGGAAGTTTACATCTTTAAATACTTAAAAGAATCTAGGCTGTCTCATGATTTGAGGGAACAGTAATCTTCATTAGCATATCAGAAACGGTAGTCACGTGTTCCCATCAGATAAAATCATAGAAAATGTTGCCCCCTATTATTCAAAATCTTTAAAGTCAACACCACTTACTGCAAGAAACTTTCTCAAGACTCACCAGAGATTCCCCTTGAGTGTCTTAATACAAGGTGGCTTGGTTAGTAATCTCGTTAATTTATAACAAACCAAGTTACTGAATGCATTCATATTATACTTTACAAGTTAAAATGAAGATGAAGTTCTTCCTGTGATACTTCCTCACACTAAAATCTCCTTGTGCAGGTTCTTTGGCTCAATAACTTATTGTTCCAGAGTGGAAGAAGGTACAAGGTAAGGAAGCAGTACATTGGATTCTTCCCAGTTTAAATTTTGTTTACAGTTCTAAAATAAGTTATTTTGGCTAAAGCATTACCTAGAAGTTCTAGAACTTGATTATTATACATTTGAATTATAAGATATTTAAGTTAAGCAATGCTTTACGCGTGACAATTTTCTATAAATAATTTATTTGACTAATATGAATGTGGGCGCCGAACTTTTATAGAGCTAAACACAGTGAAGTTGATTAAGCAACCGAGTCATTCTTTAGAAATGAAAGTCCTAATAATTTAGAAGTGATATCATTCAATGCGTAATTGGCAACATATTGGAGGTGATCAACCATGTGATGAGTGAATTAAGGTCAAACCCTCCCAAGTACATTGTTTGCGACAAACAAGCTGGCTCATGGCAATCTATAATATTTTCCTTTTGTTCCTTGTTCTCTTACCGTTGGTGTTTTCTTTTTTGTCTCAGTGTTCTCAGTTGGAGTGAAAAAAAGTGATTAGGTTGATGTTCTATGCCGCCGAATAACAACAAAACGTACACTTGCATGTTTCCTTTTGAATCTTTTCTAGCATATTTGCCAGTCCAGGCAAAGGAGAGCTTTAAAGTTTAAACTACTCCCTCGTTTCCCTCATAAAGTGGAGAATAACGACAAGGTTAAGTCCAACCTACTACCTATATATAGTTCTAATTCATTTCTTTAAACTCTAATATGAATCATTATCTGCCAAATATTATTCATTATTTGGTAATGCAGAGCTACAGATGTAAGGAAGTTGTTGAAGAGTGATCATCAACTCCTGAGGCAGAACTTGAATGGAAGGGGATCATCAGACCAAAGAACAATTCCTTTTGTCGGTATTCACCGTCCAACTCCAGTACTGTCATTTCCTCTTTTACTTTAAAACCTTGTGTCCATGTCGTTTGCTTAAGAATTGCATAATGCTAATGTTACGTATCTTGTTATCTCAATATCTCCATTGGGACTTGGGGGATTTCTTTGAGTTTATCAATCACTAAATCACATGCATTTAGGTTTGTTTTTTAAAAGTGGTAGTTTAGTCCAAGTTCCAAAGCTAATATTCTATTGTGTCCCAAAGGAAGGAATAATAGAATAGGTTAAAGCGTAGAAACAAGAAAGGCGGAAGGTGCAATTCATGCCCCTCTACTTTCATTGTTGTGGTATATTAGCCCCTTTACTTAAGAGTAGTGCAAATCAGCCCCTCTACTTGACAAATCCCGTGAATCAGCCCTTCTACTGATGATGACATAATCAAATGTCATCTTTCTGTCTACATCCTTGTTACTCCGTTACCAAGAAATGGCTTGGTATTGATATGGCATTGGGTCATTTGGGTGAGTGATGTAGCCGAGTTAAACTACAAAAGTACTGAAGAGTTTTCGTCTATTTCATTTCCTTCTATGCATCTTCTCTCTCCTTCTTTACATTCTCTCTATTCCTATTGCAGATCTTTTTTTTTTTTTTTCCGAAAGTTCAAGTTGATTTTTTTAGATAGGTCTAAATCTAAAAAATTATTTAAAAAACCCTCAAAATATGAAAATATAAAATTTAATGAAAAATTTAAAATTAAAATCAAAACTTAAGATTTTGTCAGTATTAAGTGATCTGTTCATTGAGTCTTCATATCTAACAACTCAAAATTCACCTAATTTTATTCCATATAAAAGTACATATGATATTTATTTCTTTCAAAAAAATTCTCAAAAATAGATTCATATATTTTTTATAAAAATACAAATTGAAAAAAAAAAGAGGAAAAATAATAAAAAAATTATGGATTCATTTGTGCTTGTTACTGCAAAAGGTTTTTTATTTGTACTAAGATATTGTTTTAATAGTAAAGAGCACATATGAATCCATAATTTTTCCTTTTTTTTTTTTTTCAATTTGTGTTTTTATTAAAAAAATATATGAATATGTTTTTAAGATATTTTTTAAAAAAAATAAATATCACATGTATTTTTATTTAAAATAAAGTCAAGTGGATTTTGGATTACAGGGATGGAGATTCATTAAGCAGATCACTTGGTGCCGACAAAGGCACATGTTTTGATTTTAATTTCAAATTTTTTATTAATTTTCTATATTTGCATATTTTGAGGGTTTTTCTAATAATTTTTTGAATTTAGGCTTATCTAAAAAAAAAATTCAATTTAAATTTTTGAAAAAAAAAAAGATCTATAGTAGAAAGAGAGAGAGAATGTAAAGGAGGAGAGAAAAGATAAATGAAAAAATAAGAAGAAGATGAGTACCTTTTAATAATTTTATAGTTTAAATTGAGTACATCACCCATCCATTAGTACCAAGCCATTCCTTGGTAATGTAGTAACAAGGATGGAGACGGGAAGATGACATTTGATGATGTCATCATCAACCGAAGGGTTATTCGTGGGTTTTGTCCAGTAAGGGGTTGATTTGCACTACTTTTAAGTAGAGGGGTTGATATACCACAACATTGGAAGTAAAGGGACTGAATTTCACCTTCAGCCAACAAGAAATCTCAGGGAAAAAAAAAACTGTTTCTTTGCTCTTTCTTTCTTTCTCCCCCTTTTTTTCTTCTTTTTGGTTTGTATTTTCTAAGTTGTGTATGCCTATGCTTGGTACATTTAAAAAAATTTCCTCTACAAATCTCTGGGAGTGATGGTCACATATATGCATTACAATTTACATCAAAGAATTATTTGTGCTTTTGGACCACACCATTTAAGGGATGGGTAATGTTTGACTTTGTTGTTAAGTTGTGAATGTCTATGCTTGCTACATTAAAAAATTAACACCTTCAAGTCTTCAGCTCAACCGTAAGTAAATATTGTCATGTAAATTAAATTTAAATTTTAAATTTTAAAATTAATATTTAAAAATATTTATTTTTTTTAAATATACCAAGTTGAGCCATTCAACTTAAGTAAAAGTATTGTTATTATATTTTTTAATTTTTCTTATATATCGATAATAAAAAAAAAAATTCAAATGAGAAATAGTCAAAATGAAAAGCATAAACTTTGAAAGAAAAAGAAAAGGATATGGTTGTACATCACAATCAAAACAAGTCATGTGGGCCCGATTGTCCCTATCCATTAGATATAAGAAATCGGCCATAGGTCCCATATCTTTACCAAATACTACTTACTGCCGGATGGAGCTTTCGTGTCAAAATTGACCTCCAATCGAAATTATCCTATATTTATTAATGGTCGATTCATCATGCAATGTATATGTTTTTTTTCATGAATCATAGTATATGTCTACAGGTTTAATTAGTTATATAAACTCTTTTGTTTAGTAAGTAATAACTTTAATTTTATGTTTGATAATAATAGTTCAAGACTTTATGTTGTCATTTTTATAAAGTATAATTCAAAATCTGGATCTCAAAATCAAGGTCTTGAAATAAATTGATATACCTACTTTGTATCTATATACACATGAATTAACAAATTAAAACATTACTTAACTAGGTATTTAGTATGTAGTTTTTAGATTTAGATTTTACTAGACATTTACATACTTATGAGGATTTATTAATAATTTTAGAGATATTTGAGGGTTGGTAAAACCTCTAAAATTATCTAAAAAAAGTTAGTTTTGAAAGATGTGAAAGTAAAACTAAAGATATCTCTTGATAGTAAATATAAAAAAGAGCACTTGAACCTCACGATCCAATGATCATAGATTCACTTGTAAGATGCATCTCTTAGTTTGATGGTGGTGGGGTTTGATTTCCCCCACCCTCAAAATTATAACCTTGTTCAAAAAAATAAAAATAAAAAAATAAAAATAAAATAAAAAAGAGAAAAAGAAGAAATTATTTGTAACTTTAGAGACTTTTGTTCATTTTCCTTTTTGTTATGTAGTTTTTAAATTTAAAATTTCGACCAAAAGTTCTGTGTCCAATATATTATTCGTCATCTTGTTTGTGCATGCAGATGTCATATGGCATTTTAGGTGCGCATAATATTTTTCTATGGAGTATATGGAGTAATGGATAAAGCACTTTCCTTCCTCTCACAGGTTACTTTTGTTTTTGGCATTTCATTATCTTGTGTAAAAACAAAAAGGAATTATTCTAGACAAAAACATTATTACCTTTTGATGCCTTGTTTGGTTCATAGAAAATATAAAAGGAAGTAAAAGGAAAAAGAAAAAGAAAATGCAACTTGAATACGATATTAGTTGGATTTAGATTAGTTGTTTTATTTTGACCGTTAAATGTATAGTTGGAGATGGGTCTCTAATTAAATTTTTTGCTCTAGAATCAATTTATCATCTATTTAGATAGATTATGTTAAAATACAATTTAACTGTTAATTAATTTGAAGTTTGATTCTAGTTATAATACTTTAACCTTTATAGTTTTAATATATCAATGAAATTCTACTTCTCATAAAAATAAAAAAAAATCATCCTTTTAAGTAGGAAAAATTCATAGGAAAATAATAAATTAAATAAAGTTCTTCTAGCAAAATTTTCTTCTCTTTATTCATCTCATTCTCATGTACGATTTAAACCACACCAGGACATCTTGCTCTATTAAAAAGAGGATTCCAACTTAGTTATTTGCAAATCTTTAAACTTACATCAACATAAAGAAAAAGAATTATTTATAATTTCTTTTTTTTTTTTTGGGGTCAATTTTCCTTATAATTGGACATTTTCTTTCTATTCATATGTATGCTTTTATCCCAATTGAATTCAACTTTTTTGGGGTATAGTTAAGTTCCCTTTCAATTCATCTAAGTTAACAAAGATATAATGGATGAATTTTACAATTACAATATGAAAAGAAGAGCTAAGGGTTTTGCAAG